AGGAAAAAATCCCTGGATCAGGGCAGCCAGGAGCCTCCTTGAGGGGCTGGCAGAGCAGCCTGGGGTGGCAGGCACATGAGGCTGCACTGACTTTGCAGCTGTGCTGTGTCAGTTCTGAGTCTGAGGGCTTGCCCTAAAGATGTTTAGCAGGCAGAGAAAGCAACTTTACTGAATTTCCTGTACCCCTGGGCTGCCCTAACTGCTAGTCATCCATCCCCAGAAATTTTGGGAAAGTCTTACATGATCCCTAAATGTGCCAGTACTTTCCTGCAGGCTGAGTTTCCCACGGGGCTCCACCAATCTCTTTGGTTGTACCTGCTCATAGCTGCTCTTGTATTTGCTCTTCTAGCAGCTGCCAGTGATTTATTTTCATGACAAATATAATCAAAAACGTAAACTGAGGTGCTCTGTTTTTTCCTAGAAGATTCACAGTGATACTTCTCTGATTCTTTGCAAGGGCATCACAACACACTGGAAACCCAGGCAAGTCCTGCAGTCTCTGTTCATTTAGATATTTCATGTTTAGATATTTCACATCACAAGAGCTCAGGTGCTGTTGTGTATGGGATGTGCTGTGGTGAAGGGAGTCTGGATAACTTTCCAGCCAGCTTCTATCCTGTTTTGAATGCCAGAATCTCTGAGAATAATGTGTAAAATACCAAAATACCAGCAGGCAGGAGTTTCCCTGTGGAAGGCATTCCTCTTGCTGGGATGTTGCAGCTACAGTGCTGACCCCTTGAGAGGGCTGGTGATGAGTATTAGAGGGATGGATCAGTTGGTTCTGTGCTGTTGCACTGGAGTGGGCACCATGACCATCCCCTGGGGCTGCTCAGCTCTCACTCTGCAAGTACCTGAGTGAGCATTTCTCAGCCTGTGCTGTGTCAGCATTAGCGTGCCCTACCTCCAGGTGACTCTGCCTTGCAAAGTTTTACCACTGATCTCATTTTGCCAGGCCTGAAATCATCCTCTGCTCTTGCCTTTCTCTCTAATGTAGAAGGATTTTTCATAGGGATGTAAAAATAAGGGTGCTGAATAGACCAAACTATGCTCAGCCCAGCAGCCAGCTCCCAGTGATGGCTGGTAGCACGTTCTGGGGAGGAGCAAGAGTAGAAATTACAGGTTATAGACCCAATGTACTCTAGGTCAGAAGTTTCACCATTGTTTTAAAGAGCTGCTGATGGCCTTTTCTGCTGTGAAGGGTCCTCTCCTCTTGGACACTTTATTGCTTTCAGCCCTCACCAGTTCCTCTGCCTGTGAGCCCAGCAGCTGCCACGGGGTGAGAAGAGGAGCTGCTGGCCCTCACACATCCTGTGTAATCCTTCCACTGGCTCCCCCTGAGTGTTTTGTTATAAGGAGCAGTGATTCATCAATCTCCATGTGAAGGCTAGGTAGCAGTCATGATTGTACCTACCTCAATGATACCTGCTACAAAAAATTGTCTCTTTTCCATCTCCCTGGTGGTTCCCAGAAAATAAACCTGTCACATTTTGAGGCAGTACTGACAGTACGAGAACAGATCATGGAATATGAGAGGGTTAGTGAGCAGCAGCTGCCTGTAAGTCCTTACCACAGCAAATGGATTCAAGCACTGGCACAGCTGCCCAGGGCAGTGCTGGAGTCCCCATCCCTGGAGGGGTTTGAAGGATGTGGCACTTGGGGGCTTGGCAGTGCTGGGTTAATGGCTGGACTCAATGATCTTAGAGGTCTTTTCCAACTTAAATGATTCAGTGGTTCTAAGAAAGGCTGTTCTAAACATCCTATTTCTGTAACGGGGTAAAATGCCTGTATTGATTTAAACAGCAAAGCAGAGAAGAAAGACCCATGAGGGAAAGTGGGACTGAGATGCATTAGCAGCATTGGTGTGGGAAAACATTGTCCTTGAGACGCCTAAAATTCACATTTCCAGTCTGCCTGGGCACATTCAGAGAGAAACACATTTCCTCAGCCACACACCGAGTATGAGATGTCTGGCTGGAGCTCCTATGAGGAAACCATCTGTGTTCACCAGCCAGAGCTGTGTCTGCTCCCTGTTCCTCAAAGGACCAGGAGTCCCCTGAATGCTTATCAAAGCACCTGCCACCTGAAACAAGGACCTTGTGTGGCCTGGAGGACACTCCCATGTCTTGTCAGCCTTAAATACAAAGAGATCTTTTATCAGATAGGAGAGGAAGAAGCCACCTTCCCAAACGCTGAGGTTTCACCTCTCTGGGATCCAGGATGAGTCAGCCAGGCACTGCTGAGCTCCACAGACCTGTTCAGGTTAATAAAATCACGGCCAGAGCCTGGGCAGCTCACAGGATGCTGTGTGGCTTCCACATTGACGTCACTGCTTCTCATTTACCCTTGGGTGAGAGTGACCGAAATCCATTACTACCTGGCAGCCACCGGGTAAAGCCCTGCAAAATAAATCAGTGTTCTGCACAGCAAACAGGTGTCTGCAGCACAAAAGGGGCCATTCAGATCAGCAGGGCACGAAGGGATTTTTCATCAGGGGAGTGAAGACATGAATGGGTCATTAGAGCGAGGGGAATTCACAGGCAGAGAGAGATAATGGGGAGATTTCACTGTGGAGACAGTGGAGAAGAGGCTGGAGTGTGAGGGATAGAGAAGAAGCAACCAAGGAGACAAAGAGGAGTTAAGTGAGCAATTTGACTTTATTATAGGAAAACAGGGACACTGAACAAAACTGCAAAATACATTTAGAAGTGTGAAGAAGAGATAACCTTGCCTAGTGGAAGTGACTTTTGCCTCTGTGAATCTCAGTGGTCGGGAGTGCTGTGGGGCTGGAGGAAGGCACCTGTGTCAGGAGGGGAAGGGCCAGGTACACTCAGGAGAACACAGCTCCTGGTATTTCTGCTCCATGGAGGGTACAGAGGCTTCCAGGCAAGACCCAGGCATTGACACACAAATTCAAGGGAAAAGAATTCTCTGGGATATTTTAAAATATGGATATCTTGCATCTTTGACTGCGTCACTTGATCCTGTCCATTTTCAGAGCCAGGAAACCACAGGGAATGGAGCTCCATGGCCCCTTCATTGTAGTTTATTCAGGGCAGGATTAAATATACAGGTCAGGGCAATGTAGGGGTTACAATATTGTGTTACATTTGGTCTGCAGATGGAGAACATCTTTTTACAGGCATGGAATCAGTGGGCATTCAGAGTGAGCTTTTGATGCTCCTCAGTCTGCCACATTTTACCAGCCCTAAAAATATGCCTTGAAAGAGAAAATAAAATCTCTACAGGCTTTTCTCCACAGCTACTAAAAGATCAGGCAGTAGGTACACTCCTATATCACCTGCAAAAATGCAGATGTTCTCATCTCTAGCACACATAAAAGCCATAAATCTGGGTAGTTGTAATGTCTTGTTCGTTCATATAAAGAGAACACAAATTGTGGATGGCACTGCCTGGAAAGGAGGAATCTTTCACTTCCCAGGCAGATCATTGTCAGCATTAAATGCTATTGAGTGATCATTACAAGGGTTATGTTGAATGGCTATTTTCTTGTCTCTATTTTTTTTTTTTTTGCCTACAAAAGGCACCCTGGAAGGCAGCAGGAGATTATACGAAACTTGGATTTCCTTAAACATCCTTTCCTTGTTCAGTAATAATAATAATAAAAGCCCCCAGTCATCAGAAGCCTGAGTTCCTTTAAATTCAAAATCCTCTCGCAGGGACGCTGCTGTCAGTCTGGGCTTTGCTAGGGGCACAAACCTGCTGTGCCACGTGCTGGGGCACAGGGAGCTGGGCATGGGCTCTTCTGGCACCAGGAGATGGTGCACATCCTCTCTTCCCTGGCACTGGGCAGGGAAGGGGCTCATCTCTGGTATCATTCCAGCCTTTTGGATCTTTGTTGTACATTTTTTGTCTCCTATCTGTTGCCCAATCTGATGTGTTTTCTCTTAGACCTTGGGGAGAAAGGTCTCCTTTGTGCATACAGATCCAGTGCTCAGAACAACAGAATGCTCAAGCTTTACTGGAGTCTTTCAATGCTAACAGAATATAAGTGTACCATTTATTTATCAAAGTCTCCTTTAAAGGAGAAGATGGACGAAACAGGTTTTAACCTACTTGTGATGCTCAGGAAAAGCAAGCACTTTGATTCGCTCCTTCCCAGACAAACAACATTGCATTACTTGTTTCTGATTTTATTACCTATAAACCTTTTTCTATTTTTATTTTCACATGCCATTGACTTTGTTTGGTGCAGACACAGCTGAACAAGGCTGGTTTTTCAAGTGCAAATCATGTTAATAGATGCTCAGTTCTTTCCACTCCACACACAGGAGAACTGCTGTAAGAAAGAGAGCTGATGCCCAAAAAATATTTTCCTGTTTCATTTTCTAAATTACCTCTGAGGCCACATTATCCCTTCTGAATTCCCAAATGTGGAATGCTGATGGTTGCTTTAGTACTTCTGGCATGGTCTCTTCACATAAGGAGAATTTATTTGCGTGGAGGAGTGAAACAATACGAGCAGACAATGAAATCTCAAGTGGTAAAGTGTGTGAAATTCTCCATTTACTATTACTTTTTATGATGCTGTTTCCAGCTTTTCTTCACTGCTTGCAACTACTACTGATGGATTTGGAGCACAGAGTGCCTCTTATCACTGCTCTTCATCAGCAAGTGTGAGCAGCAGCAAGCAGTCAAATCGTTGCTGTATCCAAACAGCATCTCTGCATCCAGGGATGGAGCTGCAGGGAGAGCTCACTCGTTGGGAACTTGATCTGCCTAATTATGTGACTGTTGACTGGGCAACAGGCTGCACATCCAGTTGTCCCCAGTAAAAATAATTTGTCTTAAAATTTCATCTGAGTTAAAATACATCGTCTTTTTATCTCATTACCTGTTTCTTTCCCTGTCACGGCATTTTTGAAATGGTATCAAGAGTTATTAGAAGAAAGCTCTTTTCCATCATTAAAATACCGGGTTCAGAAAGATCTCTAGAGTCCTTAAATGCAGATGAGGGCATGAATGGCACTTCCTGAGCAGAATTACAAGGAAGTGTTCTCGCTGGAGACAGTATTCAGAGGTGGGTGCTGGCAGGAGTTCAAGTGTCCACACTTGTTCTTATGGCCATGACTTCCCTGACATCTCCTGTCCATGGAGGGGGTGGCGGAGGGTCCTTTCCTTGCAGGCTCCACTGAACTCTGGTAAGAGAGCAGCTCTGGGACTGAGGAATGAGTTGTCCCTTCAGACAGAGAGAAGTTAAAGAGCGAGACCATCCTTTGGTGGTATTTGCTCTTCATTTCCTTGGCTGATCTGTAGAGGTTCCCAACGAAGCAATAGCATATTGGGTTGAGGCTGGAATTGGTGAGGCCGAGCCACTGGGCAAAAGGTCTGAGCTGCAGGATCCAAGGAGAAGGAGTCACATCCTGCAAAGATTTGGGGATGTTGAAATCAATCCAGATGTCCATCAGGTAAACAGGCAGCCAGGAGATGGTGAACAGCAGGACCAGGGCCACCACCATCTGTGCCACCTTCCTGCGGATCTTCAGCCTGGAGGCCGGCAGGGATCGGTTCAGGGCAGAGCTCTCCTTCAGCTGGCTGCTGCGGCTCCACAGCCGGCGCACCGTGAGGAAGCAGATGACCATGTTGAACAGGACGGGCAGGCAGTACAGGGCACAGAAGAGTAGAAAGTTGTAGGCTTGCTTGAGCCTCTCCTGAGGCCAGATCTCCCTGCAGATGGAAAACACCAGGGGCAAGCCCTCCACCACCCCGATCTCATCCCGTTTGTTCATGAAGATGAGGGGCATGCATATCCCTGAGGACAACACCCACACCACCAGGATGGTGCTGAGGATCCTCCTCTGGGTGAAGAAGGAGCGGGCGTTGAGCGGGTTGTGCACGCTGTAGTACCGGTTCACGCTGATGACGGTCAGGCTGAGGACGCTGGCAGAGACAGAAACAGCCTGGATGAAGGGCACTGCCCGGCAGAGGAAGTCCCCGTACACCCAGGCTTTGTAGATGAGGTTGCCCACGGTGATGGGCATGCAGATGCACACCACCATGAGGTCACACACGGCCAGGTTGATGAGGAGGCTGCGGGTGGCGCTCAGGCTGGACACCCGGCTGCGGCGCTTGCGGGTCAGCACCCTGATGGACATGATGTTGCCCACGAAGCCCACCACAAAGGACAGCAAGTACATCACCGTGAGGCTGATGGTGACAGGCTCCTTTGCAAAGAGGAAGAGCATCTTCTCCAGCTCTTCCCACCCCAGCTCCTGGCTGCCGTTCCAGAGCCCGCCTTGGGTCTGGTTCTCCTCCTGCCAGAGCTGCAGAGGGTCAGGGGGGGCCCCGGGTTCTGGGGGGGACGAATCCATGGCTGAGTCCCCCCCCGGGCAACCTGTGCTAACGGGGCAGAGCCTTCTGCGCTGCTTCCAACGCTCCGGACATGGCGAGCTGGGATCAGCCCTGCCTGCAAAAGAGGGTGTGGAGAAGGGGGATCAGCGGGGGCTCGGGGCAGCGATCGCCCTTCAAGGGGAGCTTCTTATCCGCAACTTAGTTGAGAAGCGGCCGTAGCGCGGGGCGGCCGGGCTGGGCAGCGCGGCACCGGCACCGGCACCGGTCCGGCAGCAGCGGCGGCACCGACGGGAGCCCCTGCCCGGCCGCGGAGAGACGGCGCCTCCGCTGGGAGGACGGGGAAGGAGCCCCGTGCCCCCGCAGCCCGAGGAGCACCCCCGGCCTCGGTCCGCAGCCACTCCCCCCGCTCCCTCCGTCCCTCACTCCCTCCTTCCCCGGAAAGTTGCGTGTCCCGCGGCCGAGCTGCAGGACCCTTGCCCCGGGCTGCCCTCAGGGCCCCGATCCCCTCCGGTCCCCCCCGGTTCCCTCCCGGTCCCCCCCGGTTCTCCCCGGTTCCCCGTCTCTCCCGCGGTCCCGCGGCGCGGCCGCACTCACCGGGAGAAGGGCGGGCAGCGCCAGCCGGGCTCCTCCCGCCGGCAGCTCCGCCGTGGATGTGCGCGTGTGTCCGTGTGTCCCCGTGTCCGTGTGTCCGTGCGTGTGCGCGGCGGCAGCGCCCGACCCGCTGCCCCTCGCGCGTGCTCGCACCCACGCACCCACCGCGCCGCCAGCCCGGCGCGCACCGCGCGGCGCGCACACCGCGCACACAGCCCCGCACAGAGCCCCGCACACAGCCCCGCACAGAGCCTCGCACACCGCGCACACAGCCCTGCACACTGCACACACCGCACACAGCCCCGCACAGAGCCCCGCACACCCCGCACACAGCCCCGCACACACCGCACAGAGCCCTGCGCACAGCCCCGCACACACCGCACACAGCCCCGCACACGCTACACACCCTGCACACCGCGCACACAGCCCCGCACACACCGCACACAGCCCCGCACACTTTATTTAGCTTCCACTTCAAAGCTGTTCTGTAAGAAGCAAACCAATGTCCAAAGGGTACAACATTTCTTTTAGCTGGAGATTCAGACCGCACACAGCCCCGCACTCGCTGCACGCCCCGCACACCGCGCACACAGCCCCGCACAGAGCCCCGCACACCCCGCACACAGCCCCGCACACACCGCACAGAGCCCTGCGCACAGCCCCGCACACACCGCACACAGCCCCGCACACACCGCACACAGCCCCGCATACACCGCACACAGCCCCGCACACTTTATTTAGCTTCCACTTCAAAGCTGTTCTGTAAGAAGCAAACCAATGTCCAAAGGGTACAACATTTCTTTTAGGTGGAGATTCAGACCGCACACAGCCCCGCACAGAGATCCACACACAGCCCCGCACACCCTGCAGCCCCGCACACGCACAAAGCCACACACCGAGTCCTGTTCTGCGACCCCCGCACACTCACGCACACACGCGGACCCCGACAGACCCTACACACATCCCTCAGCACGTCTGCAGAGCCGCACACTGCTCACACTCCCTTTGCACGCACCTTCCTGCAGGTGAGCATCCACCGCCCCGCTCCCTCCTCACCCGCACCCCCGCACCCACTCCCGCACCTCTGCGGGGCCCTGCAGACCCTTCCGTGCACCCCTCTCTGCACACGCAGGTGCGGCTCAACCCCGCATCCCCTTGGCACCCCAAGAACACACACCCACACCTATACCTACACTGACCCACGCACACCCACACCTACACTTACCCACGCACACCCACACCTACACTCACACACCCACATCCACACACGCACCGCACTCTCCTCCCGCAAAGCAGCCCCCGCCCCTCCGCCCGGGCTCGGCCCGGGACAGGCCAAGCTGGAAGGAGCCGAGCCGAGCCCCTGCCCGGGCCAGACCGGGATAGTTTAAGCCGAGCCGAGCCGGGACAGCTGCCCGTCCCTCCCGGAGCCCGGATCTTGGCCGGCCGTGGTGCTGAAGGGACAGCTCCGGCCGGGCAGGGCACGGGGCGGGCAGGGAGCGGGCGGGGACACTCCGGGACTGTTCCTGGTGGTCCCCTCCTCCTCCTCTCCTGGGGTCGCTGGGTTCAGCTGTGGCAGAGCGGGGAGGATCCTGCTTCACTTCTACTCTAACATCCCCTGCCATGCTGAGTTTCTGGTGGATCCCGGCACGCCAAGGGTTAACAACACCACAGGTGCTATGGGAACTCACCTGAACGAGGAGCGCCGCACAAAGAAACCCAACTTCTGGTGTTTTCTGTTGAATTGAAGGGATGGGGAAGAGGAACGTTTATGGGAAAAGTGTCTTGAAAAGTTGAAGTGGTTGTTTGGGGAGCAAGGTTGGTTTGTAAAATGGAACTTTTGATTAGAGGTGCTCAGAGGATGCCAGTGTATCACAGGGGACAGTGTTTGATGAGAGGAATTCATGGCTCTGCCTGAAATGTTTAGTTTTTGTTCTCTTTCTTCTCTTGCCTTCTCTGAGGGAGAGCAAAGTAACAAGCACAGCCCAGTGGAGGCTGCTCGTCACTGAACGGTGAATGCCCTTGCTTTCACTGGGAAATTCCCCATCCTTTTTATTCTATGCATGTGAAAGAATAAAGTAAATATTTTTGGTCAGCCTTACGTGAAATGAAAGAAAGATCAGTGGTGGAGCTGCACTGGGGGTGGCAGGCAGATGTGACCAGCCTGCAAACCTCTCCTGTGTGAGAATGCATTTGCTCTAAGTGTGTAACTGCTCATTCTCCTGCAGTTTTCTGTCTGTGTATTTATAGGTCTTCAGAGGCAAACAGCTTCCACAAACTAATTGCAGAGTGCCTGGAGCACCAGGTACACATTATTCCACACAGAGAAATGCGTGGAAACTCCCATGGATACCTAAAATCTGCTGCAGTTTCACAGCTGCTCCATAAGCAAATAGATCTGTTGCAATGAGGCAACTACAGAGACCAGTCTTGGAGCTGGCAATTGGAAATCTCCATGCACCCGAGCCCTTGCCAGCCTCTGACTGCCTCCCCACAGCACACCTGCCATCACACATCGAAAACACAGGATGGAGGTGTTTAAGTCAACATTTTTAGTAGGGTATTAACAGAATACAAGAGAGGAGAGTGCAGAAATGTGCCAGGGCTTGTTTTGTCCAGGTAGTTGCCTTCCAAGTGTTCAAGATAATAAATACATTAACTTTTTTTTTTTTTTTTCTCCTTGGTGCACTTTATTTGTAACTCACATGATTTACTGCAGAGGGACCTTTAGGACTTCAAGACTAAATTACCAAGTTAATCAATGGTTCAATATAATTAGAATGAATCTGCTTTTGCGTCCATTGACACAACTCACAAATGCCAAGTCATCTCTAGCAGCAAATGACGAATCCCTACACTGTGTGCAGCTGACAGAGAGCACAGGGCATTGATTATAACAAGTCCATTGATTCTAACAAGTTCAAAGTCACCAGATAACTCAAGATGGGGAATCTCCAATGAAAAGAAATGCTGTACCCTTTTCACTTTGGTTTGCCTCTTCCAGAACAGCTTTGAAGTGGAAGCTAAATAAAGTACACCCGAGACAGGAGCCATCCTTCAGCAGCAAGGGCAAGGGGCTGGGCTGTGATCATACAGCAGAGCACATCAGAAATAACCCACTGGTCTCACTGGAGTTACAGCTGTGAACAACTGACCTGAGAGGAGTGAGTCAGCCACTTTGGGGCTTCGCCAGAATCTCAAAAAAACCTCACATTTCCCATGCCAGCTACAAGTGCCCAAACCTGCCCTGCCCACTGCGCATCAGAGTCCCAGGCCAGGGTAAATTTAGCTTTGCTGCCTCAGCACAAGCTCCCTGCTCCCACTGCAGCAGGAGCTGGGTATCACACAGAGCTGCAGTGTCCCAACAATGGGTGAAAATTCAGGAAACCCTGAGGATTCTCCAGCTTGAGCTGGATCTTGAGAGTGTAAAGCTAGAGCAAAATTTCTGGTTGCATCTGGTGACTTTGAACTTGCAGTAGCTCGTGTGCTCTCCCCACTCTAACTTTTCCACTTGCTACCCAGACTTCCTTGTATGCCCAGGGGATACCTGTGTGGTCCCCAGTGCATCTGCATCCCTGACCTCTGTGTGATGGCTGGCACCCGACCAAAGGGCACTCGGCTCTCTTGGCTTTCTCCCAGTGCCCATCCCGACATGCCTGATGTGTCTCAGCTGGCACATCAGCCCTGTTGTGAGGATATAGCTGCTCTGCCCTCCTGTTCTTGCCCGGCAGGTATTTGGGGTGGGGATTGCCCCCTTCACAGAGGTGAAACAGAATTAGGGCTGGTCTCAGTCCAGCAGGGCTGGATTGGTGCTGCTGGGACAGATTGTCAGTGGTGCTGCTTGTGTGAGGTGAGCTAGGAGCACATTCCAGGGTGTTGGGGTGAGCACTAGCACTCGTGAAATTGTTTCCCACCTGATTTTGCTGTTTGGATTGCCCTTGGAAAGCACTGGACAAAACCCACCTCCATTGCCACTTGTCCCTTCTGCCTGCCACACTTTTTGACTGATGGCACAGACACAGGAGGACCTGGGGCTAAGGGAGACTCCCCCACATCCTCCTCACATCTGCCCCAGCGCTTGCCCACCCCTTCCCCCTCCCAGGACCCTGCTGGGAAGCTGTGTGTGAGCGTTTCTAACACTGAGTAACACAGCAACCTGGCTCTCTGCCATCGGGAGAGAGTAACAACATCACCGTTAATTCACTTTTGATTTAAAAATAAAATCTACCCTTCTCTGGGATATTTTATTATAAATCTCCAAGCCAGCAACAAAACTCCCCAAATTCTCCGTGCCAGCGGCGCGGGGATTCTGAGCTGGCTTTGTCGCTCCCTCTGCTGGTGACTGCCCCGTCCCCTGCCAGCGCTGCTCCGGCACGGCCGTTCTGGGGACAGCAAAAAACGAGCTGTTTCTGAGCTATTTCTGGCCCCGGGG